CGAGATCTGACTCCAGTTAAATCGTGTAAATGATTTTTATTGAAATACACATATCACCTATCCTCGTATATAATTAGCTACTTAATCCGAGTCAGTGGCCAACGGAATTAAATAAACCAAATATGAGAGTGGATTTTGAGTGTGTAGACCATGCACTCAATGGTTTGAACATGCAATCAGGGAGATGAAACAAAGAGGAAAGAGCGAAACAAATTAGGTAAAGCAAGTGAGCAAGCTCGATTTAATCAAGCGTTAATCAATATTTATAGTAAGATAGAAATAAGCTACAGATATATGATGGGTAGCATAATATGGCACACGCATATGATCATCTACAAACAGTCAGAATAAATAAACCGATAAGTAACAAGGTCAAAAAGTGGTTTGAGAATAATCAATAGATTGACTTGTCCGGAAGCTATAATAAGTTATGTGGGTTTAAGATGGTAAATGACGTCAAATTACCCCCCACATGTGTAGGTACTTTTGATCTTTAAGAGTGCACCAGCTTTCACAAGCTACTAGTAAGTTTGTGAGACATGAATAACCTATTCTAAAGCCGCTGCTTTTCAGAAAGAATCTGGTTTACATCGAGATAATTATAGAACTCTTTCCCAATAATCTTTTATAAATTTTTGACAATCACGTTGGCTAGGCTTACCGGTCGATAGTCCTAAGGTTTATGCCTCGTACCGGGTTTGAAGACAGGGCCATGGGTTCAGATAGGTTAGAACATATGACTAGGGGATTTGCGGCAAAATCTGCTAATCCTTTTAGTAACCTAGGATGCATTTCACTGAGTCCCATGGATTTGCCTATATTAAGCTTCTTTGTCACACTAAAGACACTGAGTTCCTTAATGGTCAGATTGTCCAGTGTTTGTGGTAAGGTGTTTGTACGAATTGAAGGGGAGGGCATCTTTGAAGTATATACAATGCTAAATTTGGGGATACCCGAGCTTTACCATAACCATAATCATATTTTTGTTAGGTCCACGAGTGGCGAGCCTTTAAGTACAAGAACTCATGAAATTCTTAGTTTGTGTTCATTCCGTAGAATTACTTCCTTTTCACTGAGAACTTTAAATACTGCTTCTAGCATCCTGGTTTGACTCTGTTTGAAGTTCATTTAGCTACCTAGTCAATAAACCGTTAGCAAGGTGACTTCAGAGACATGTAGAGGCATCAGCTTGTTGAGTAGCTTTTTTATCGATTCAGTTTCATTTTCAAAACGAGTTCTGGGCTTTGAGCTTGCACTCTTCTTGACTCTATGGAAGATAGCAGAGATGCCACCATGGTCAATCTTCAATTTCTTATCCACTGTTTGCGAGATCGGTTTATCTTAGGCAACATTAATTACTTTGTAACAATTCATTAACTTTCATTGAAGTAGCAATTACAGTCGCGTTACACAAAGTGTGGGATCCTGGATGATCGTCAATGGTTCGGGTGGTCAGGTTGTTGTTTCGTCTGCTAGAAATAGACATAGCCTTGAGATTCGATTTTAGGGGAGTTTCCCGCTCGCTGCTATTCAGATGTCTGGGACAGAAGAATATTCTTCTCTTAGCTTTAATTCGTAACAGATATCTTTATAGACCGTTCTTTCCCCCTTGAATTATGTAAGTCAGTTAGATTATGTGAGGTAACTTCACATCGATTTGTGTATTGACCTAGTGAATACCATTTAAGATCTCTCGGTCGCGCTTGGTAATACTTCTTTTAGTAACATTCATCACTGCTATGGCTCTGGGTAGCAAGCTGTTTGCGTTAGAGAAGCACTGCTGATACAACCGCACACAAATAATTTTACTTAACTGTTTGAAGGACTCAGGCGTCAGATTCACGAAAATTTTGTAGTGAAATGCCACATCACACAGGCATCGAAAGCCGAGTGTTGACAATCGCCTTTTTGTACTGTTCAGCCCTCAATCAGATGTTTCCAAAAAGAAACCAGACACAAACAATACACGGGGGAAAAAACCTAATGGCCAGAAAAAATAAAAAATCGAATTGTTAGGACCAAAAGTGTTAATAGATACAAAAAGTAACAGTGTAATTGACAGTAAGGATGACAAATTACTTTCAAAAAAGGATACTTTTAGCTAACACTTTAACCGAATTTAATTCAATCAAACTGAAAACAGTAGTCTTAATGAGTAGAAACGATCAAAACAAAATTAACTCAGAGAGGCAATATGACAGTGATCTTTTTTACATAGCGCGTGGGATAAGATGCTTATCTTCGGGGTGTAGATGCTCATAGTAATTGGCATTCATCCGAAATGCATGCATCTTTTAACTCATCACCACGACCAAGACGAAGAAGGCTACATCGGTAGTCTACGCATGCTTTATTTCAAATGAATTTATGCTTCAAGTCTAAATATTGCCACTACCAGTCAGGATTTGGGGTTTGTGCAGTAAATGGTAAACTTAAGGTCACCCCTAATAAAACCGTGTACAGCCATCCTTGCGTAGAGAAATTTATTTTTGAAGATCCTTCGAGACAACAGTTGACATAGAGCGAACGATTATACTTAAGACAGACAGCACTGAACATCTGGTTTCTTGGATGTTCCACACTCGACTTGCCAGGGACGATGTTGCCAAAATGCCAAGTTGTATCCATGTTATTAAGTGCACATTCTGATTGAGTGAGTTTAGACATTAAACATATCAACGGGATTTCACCACGCGTCCAAACAAACACTGAAGTAAAAGCATTCAAAGAAAATGGGAACATGTCTATGACTAGCTTCTGTCTTATGGAGAAAATAGCTATCTAGCACCCATCTTCATAACTCGTATGCATTCACTTGATTTATCAAACCAGAAAAGTTGGGTAAACACCAAATAATAAAAAATTTATCCTATAGCTTTTCACTGTCCCAACTAGTTGTTACACGCACGTTGGTTATGAATTCGGTAGCGACCATAATTTTCACAGTGCAGCCTACTCACAGTCATACCCACACAATATTGTATTCGTCTTGGGCGAACTTTTCAGGAAGGTAATCGTGAACCGTACAAATTATTTGCTGCAGTTCAGAAATGTCGATATTCCCAAATGCTTGGACCTACTTTCCTCTGGCCTTCGATTACATAAGAGATAACTGGATTAACCGAAATTCAATGTATGCTCGCTGTTATCAGCAACATTTGCTAAACCTGAACAACCACACAGACAATCGTGTCGATAGTGCTAATAAACGCTTGAAAGAATGTCACAGGAAGGGTGATTGTCTCTACCAGTTCTTACAGTGTTATGAAAGGGAGAGTGTACTGTGAGTTCTTGTGTTACTGTGTGGCTGTAAAACATGGGGATGATCATCCATGTCTATTGCTAGTAGGTAACTATTACCGGGTTGATGTCTGCACAGTTAGTCATCTGGACCGTTTACCGAATGCTGCAACCTTGAACTCGGTGTATCAACTATTAGGTGAAATTCGATAGTATTAAATTACTTAGAAACTACACAGGGGTTAATTTTCACCATAAATATGTTGACTTTGCTAAGCCTTTGTTTTAGTATACAAGAGTAAGACCAGATGTTTGACATCAGTTAGCCTTATTGTCCGACAAAGCATTGACTCACGCATTTTATCCGTTCTCTTTCGTCAAAGATCAAAGTCTATACATATTTTCCGCTCTTAGTGGTTTGCTATTCTCAACTTAACAGCCCTTTCTTCATCTTCACTTCTGTAGGTTTTCCCATATAGAGAGCTTTGAATAATTTCCGTTCACTTAAAAATTTAGTAGGACTCAGACATTTATTACTTATACCTATAATCATCAACATAGAGGATATGTATTAACTGCGTGATTCTGAAACATTTGTTTATTGGATGGTAAACAGGAGTGATTAATCGCCAGTTTTTCATGAGATAATGTTAAATGGACGTACATTTTTAGACGTATACCAACCGCTTACTATCCCATCCATTAGATACGTAACAAATAATGGAATTCATGTAAAACCGATTATACTGAATAAGTAATTATTTACAACAACATGAATTTAAACATCCTATTGAGTGTACAGACGCTGGATATCTAATCACGCTTTGTACAAAAATCACACTTATTTTCTCTTGATTAGTAATATGAACCAACTCCACAAAAATCCAAAGTCTGCTAAAGAGGAAAACACATGATTGGTAAGTCAGTACAATGAAACTATACATAAAACTAGACAAGTTTATGGTAATGTACACAACTCTTGTTCCCGTAAGTGATCTTTACATTGTGACTTCTTGTATCATAGAGAATTAGGTGTTCATAGGTCTAGAATATGATTGAGAAGTCACTCGCATTCCAAAGATAAAGCGGCTACCTTGATTTAATTCAGTTAATTTCCAACGACTGCAACCTATTTTTGAAACTCAGTCTCGTCTCATAATTCATACAATTTCTTCCAAGCTTCGGTGTTAACGAAAGATCATATATTTAAACGAGTATTCTGACTGGCCTCATAATAGTAATAATTTCTTCCAGTGACTATCATTACAAGAAAATCAGCAACATTAAAGCTAACACTCCATACAACAATAGATAACTCTGATGTGTTTGCTTGGTCCATAACACATAATTTGGAAAAAAACGTGGGCTTGTAGAGAGTACAAAATTGGTCTCAAACTGTCTCTAAACAAGCAAACATTAGATATCGAAACTTCCGAAATTCCAAAAAAATGCTATCAGCCTTTTGTAAAAGGATCCGATAGGACAAATAATTATTTCATATTGATCCAGTGACTTTACATACACGATAATGTCAATCTACTCTGGACAATTTATAATGAGTCAGTCATCACTGACAACTCGAGTTCTTCATTATAACACAAGACTGGTTAGACAGCATGATATAACTATTACCATAAAAATGGACACCACTTTGGTGCTGTTAAGGTCCCTAAATATTCAGTTAGTCTGATGAGTAGATAAAAAAGTCACGTAGGACCTTGAGAAACCTATCCCTCCAGAAATCCATATCCAACTTTGTGGTCGTTGAACTGTTGCCAACTTGTTAGCGGCTTCTTTGAAGGTCGTGATGAGAGACGAAAGAAAAAGGGTTAGGGATCAGGAAGGTCAGTACTACTAGAGGGTTCTGATATAATTGTGCTCATGTCCTGTCACTGAGATCTTATGCAAATAGAGTATAATGTTTTAAGTAAGCCTGTGTTCTGTCTCATGAGCTGTTGTATTTTAAGGGTTGAACTAAGGTGAATTCGGACTAATATTTAGGAATTGACTAGTTACGTGGATGTACTATGCGTCTCAGTATCACTTCACGTTAAGTATCAATGATAGTGGTGATCAAGACCGATTTGATACAGTTTTAGATTCTTACTTTATGATAACATTAATCTACCATGAGTGACCGTTAAAATCAGACTTGGAGCTAACGGTATATTTTCTGGGCTCTGATAAGCTTTTGTGTGCCGGAATCTTCTCTTTATTATGCATTAAGCACTTGATTAATTATTGGATGCCAACAGATTTTTTGTATGGTGCAGTACGTACAAACCACTTTAGTCTTATATTCATTGACTTGAACGCGAACATTGGTACAAAGGGGCACCACCATGTATGTGCGCCACATGAAATTTTTGTGGAAGCTGGGATACCTCATGGTTGTCTAAACCGAAGTAGGTGGTTTTCTTGGGGAGCCATCCCCCGAGCCTTTGACTTGGAGATTGATCCGCAAGTCAATGAGACAGCGTTAGTATATGTAGTCCCATGGTAGTCGGTAGCCAAGGATAGTTCCGTACACCGTTTGTTCCCTCATGAACCTAAGACCCATATGCACCGTTGGTTATGAGTCAGGGTTTTCCAACTCGCTTAGGTGGATACTTGGTACCCACCAAACCGGTTTAAGGCCTGGACATTCGCTTTTCGTACTCTGAATTTCGTAAACAACACCCCCATCGTGAGAAGGGAGTGATTAGGACTTCTTTGCCGGTCGCTATGTACGAGTGACCATATGAGATCATCTCGAGAGGGGGCGGACTCTTCCTGCCCTCGGCTGTACTAAGGGGGGCTTTAATCCTATAAGCTAACCTATGGTCTCTTATGACAATCAGCAAACATTAGTGATACACTATATTGGCTGATTTCTTTTTCTGTATTCTGTTACACACATCGGTAGTCTGGATGTTTACTGATGTCAGTGGGAAATCTCTAGTATCCTGTGGTATCAATGTAAGTTCCATTATAAATGATGGTTGGCTTGTATCAGTGTTTTGCATGACATGGTTACTGGTATTTTAGCGAAAGGTCCTTAATAAACGTCTGTGTTTATGTTGTTTGTACGTTTTCTTCGATTGAATGACACAGAGTGTTTCTCAGTAATGTAAGCTTCTTTATTTCTAGCACATCTGCCAGACATGATTTCTAAATGGGATTAACTAACAGCACGACGTCATCAGACATATAGTGTGGGTGTCTTTGGCGAAACGTTGCTCAGTTAACCTTGAAATGGACAAGCTAACAGGTTATCGATAAATCTACTCATTGATTGTTGGTATAGGTCGTGACCTAAAACGTATCATGCAATGTGGCATGTACAATTGCAGTCACAGAAACTTGGCCGACGCAGTCTATCGATAGTATGGAACTTGATTTCGAGGATTTTACGTTAGCAAGGGCTGACAGAATACAAAAGCGCAGAGGGGGAAGTAGCTCTATTCATTAGGAATGCTATCCAATTTGCCATTATCGACAGTGTATCCCATGAAAGTGGGACGTGTGAATTAGTTATTTGCCGCTTGAAATACAAGGGACAAGAGCTGCTGATTGGTTTGGTCTATTGCAGTCCAATCTGTGAGGTGAATAAGGTCCTGCTAAGCAGTCTCGATACTTGGTCACAAAAGTGGTCGATGTCTAATCCTAGGGGACTTTAATGCACCAATGGTAGACTGGAAAAATTGCGAACTGAATTGTTAGATAATTCCTTCGAGCAGGAACTCGTTGATGCAGTTATCACATGTGCCCTAGTGCAACACGTGAAGGAAGCGACTAGGTACGACCTGGACTCTGAATCATCCATCCATCCCAATTCATGGTATTGTTGTTTGGAAACGCTATGCACTGTTGCGTTAGGTCAGTACCAGTGACTTACTCTTTCCAATACTTGTGTCGTTCTAGATAATGGACATGCCACTAATCTTGCCTTACTTTTGTTTATTTATTCGTGCGAGTTTGCATGACACATGAATACGTGACAATTGGAGTTGATATAGCACTGGATCGAATCATATGTTGTTTACTAGTGAGAACAAGTGCCTGTTTGAAATTATTTGTTCCTTCAGACCTGTTCTGCAATATTCATTTTTGGAGACGTAATTGACCAGTAATTTTTTGAGTTTAGTAAGTAACAAGTGTGTAGAGATGGGATGTCAAAGAAAACTAGCAATCAGAAATGATAGACACTATCAAACAAACAATGAGTTCAAGTCAACTCCAGTTTGCATTGCATCCTGTACATTTAAGTTGTGTTGGCCACAAGTAGAATGACTTGTGTTCATCACGTACACTTTGAGCTGAGTCTTCTAACTAAATATCATTTAATGCATTTGTGATATTGGTTTACTAACATTTCATTAGTGTTGAGACTGTTTCTTAGTGGGTTGGGCAGTTTACCAACGGTAAACCGACAAGTGTATCTAAATTTTATCAACTGGCTCATAGGCTACTTCTGTGGTACATTTTCCTAACACATCCAACTATTTGAATTGATGGGCCGTTTGTGTGAAAAGTTTTCTGCAAACTACAAACGAAATTATTACTGGCCTATTGATTTATCTAATGAGTGTACTGCTTAGCTGGGTTATTGTCTATCCACTAGGGACTAAAGTAATTTTTAGTTGTTGCGTACATTGAACTCATCGTTAGTACAAATCGTGCTTGAGACCTTGTGTTATTCTAATCCCTACTTTAAAAGTATTCGTTCACGTACTAATTGTCATGCTATACTTTCAGGATCCGAGAAACGTGATAGTAGACGTCCTCTGACTGTTCGAGATGTGAGTTTAATTCGCTTAGCAAAGAATGGGGATTTGGATTCAATCAAACAAATGGTAAAGGAAGGAGTAAATATAAACGAGCAAGATGAAACAGGTAAGGAAGTGTACCGATACAAAACAGGGAATTGTGTTTTATATCACTGAATACATGTGATTGTGTTTCTGTATGGAACTTAAAGCTATACAGGATAAGTTGTGTATTTTATATTGTTGCAGATCAGTATATAGACAGAATATAACAAACGTTTAGAGCAGATCATCCTAGTTGGCTGTTTTTATTGTCTACTGATCTACAACTTGTGCGTGCTATGATTTAGGTCATTTGTCTCACAGCTTGACCTTTTAGACGTGGAATTTACCACTTAAAAGTAGAACTCCTTAGTATCTCAATGCAAATAGTTGGCTTTGATCATTAATCTCAGTCCACCGGACTTTTGTTTCTATCACTGATGCATGTTCGTATTTCATGTCATCACAGGGGCTGTTCTTCATGCATTTCCGCTTAAATTTGTAGGTTGGACTGTATTGCACGAAGCATGTGCGCGGAACCTTCCACGTATGGTTGATTATTTGCTACGACATGGAGCTGATCCTAGTATCTCAAACATAAACGGTGAAATGGCACTTCATTGTGCTGCGCGAGTAGGATGTCTGCGTATTGTTCGAGCGCTCTTATACTACAACGCCGACCCTTTGCTATCGAACCATAGGGGTGAGAAACCTTTGGACCTGTGTCATGACCCTGAGGTATCCAGTTTTCTCAAACAAGTATGTTTTAGATGTAATTTTTTAAAGGTTACATTTTGTAAAAAGGATTGTGTCATAGGAGTATCAGGAGCTTATCAAGCAGACCAGTTTCTTGAAAGAATTGTACCCTTGAGTATTTTTTTAAGACACTCCCAAAACTTATGGTGATACTTTTATGCTATGACAACTTGGGCCGATATACATCTGTGACAGGCCCTACGTTGATGCTTACTGATTGACATTCTTATTTATGTAGCCTTTACACTTGAGATGAGGTCAGATCATGGTCGCTTAAGAGAATATGTTATCAGGCGAATGCGGAACTACAGTTCGACGATGACAAGGAGGCAGTTGTGAGGTTGGATTTTTGTATCCATTCGTTGTATCACAGAAAGATGTATGAGTGTGTTTAACATTTGAAAAATTTATTGTCTCTCAAATTTGAACCTTTATCTTTCGACAAGATCGTTGCCCATATTTTGTCGACTGGTTTTCACTTTATGGGATGTACATTTGATAGATGGTTGCTTAATTTGGTTGGTCGTCTCAATCTATCTAATTATGGTGGACTAAACAGTATTTTGTAAATGTGGTAACTGTATTATGTGAATTAAACTGATTTCCCTCTTTGTCGAGTATAATTTTTATTTCCAGATTGCTTATTTGATCATGGGTATATACGTCATCGCTGTCGTTAATTGAGAACATCGAGTGAGTAGTGGTAATGTTTCAGCTGTGAGAGAGTTGGGGCATATGTAACGCTTGACCAGCTACTGACTACACCAGTGTGCCATGGAGGTTAGCATGTATATAGGGTAGAAACAGGTTAGGAGCAACTAAATCGATTTATAAGGTCAACTCATGGAGTCAATGGCTATTGATCTGAGCTATACAGAGAAATTCAGGCTCCTTGATTGTTGTTTGTGAGACAACTGTAGTCTGTTTATGTTGCTTGTTAACTGGGTGATGAGTCGAAATTAGTTGTAATGATGAATGTATACACATTTCTCAACATCTTGTAAGTGTTGAACATTCAAGTATTATTTTGTATCCTTCATTCGCTCCTGGTGATTTGCTTGTCTTCTTCTTCGTTTTTCGTGACTTATTCTCCTCTAAATCTTGAGTTTCAGTTTTCATGCTTTCCGCCTTTGATTTGATTAATTCTTTTCTAAACATACTTTATGTATTTGGTTTCCACTACTATTAATATTATTATTTCGACTCTGTTTTTCGTCTTTTGAACTTCCTGTTCCTACGCTGATATAAAATTTGGCAACTTGAACCAATAGTCATTCGAGTCAGTTCATACGTTCAGTTCATATGTATGAAATTGCTCTATAATCTCTTCACTAATTGATCAGGTTTTACTGTTTCCTGGAAATACTTTATTATTATTGCGTTTATACTTTCAGCATACTGAAACTAATCAATCACACATGTTAACATCGTCTGGTTCTGGGAAATCATCACATTTGAAAGTTCGCCAACACGCACACGGTACAAAACATCTGATGTCTTCTTTTTCTGGTACGACAATATCCAGCTCTACTGAATATTATGGTGGTGGGGGTAAAGACAACAGTAGTACAGCAAGTCCATCGAATGTTTATTCAGACTCAGAAGATGATAATCATTCGCATTCAGGTTTGAGTATAACTACCAATACATCTCACCATAATATTAGTCCTATTAATACTAACCAGCAGTTAGATTTGAATTGCTTATCGTCTACCGGTCATCATAACCATCCGGCATCTAGCCCGTCATTGTCGTCTGTACCCAAATCCGTGTGTGATGTGCACATCTCTTCAGCAAAGTCATGTGAGTGTTTTTCATGTATGTATGCTTCTACATATTCCCTTTTTGTTACAAACTGTTTTGCTTATTATTTGTTGTAAATTTTATGCAATATTATGGTGCATTATTCCAGTAACTATTCACAGGTCTCAATGTTTGTCTGTATTATATATAGTGAATTTTGCAATATCTATCAAAATTAACTGACAGACTGCTCAGATTGTACATGAGAATATATAGATTTGCTCATCGTTGTATAGATGAAAGTGTCTCACTTGATTATCAAATGTTATGCTTCACTCACCAATTTTAGAAGTGATGGCAGTAGAAGTTTGTGATGTGTAGCTCCAAATATGTTGGTGTTGGAAAAAACAACAAAATGAGCTCTGGTTAGTGTATTTCTCACTTGGTTGTTATTATGCTTATCACTATTATCAGATAATGCTTGAAGAATGTATTAGGAGTGATAAGTAACTAGGTACCCCTTAACTATGGCCTTACAAAACTGTCTAGTTGTTATCCACTGAGTTTTGTGAAAGGTAGGTGGGGACTTATGTGATTGCCATGTATACCTTACTAGTTGTTGGCATAGTAGAATCTGATAGACATGTTTATTGCGAGAATTATATGTCTGTGGGGATAAAAGCTCAAGGTAGGGAGAATGCTTCAAAAGAAAGAATAAGATAGTAGAATGTTGAGTATGAATTGATGCTAAGAGCCAAGATTTCGTGGAAAACAAGGGGTAAATGCATCTACACTAGTGCTATCGGTTACTCGTGACCGTGATTAGTTGGTAATAGTTGGTTGAGATGAAAGTGATGTTTAGTAGTCGGCAGGTCTACTGTATGAATCACAAGTCGATCGGCTAATGGCTTCGTATCACACAGTCGGACTGTCATGGTGTCAGATTTCACTCAAGTCATCTCTTACGTATTTGTCTAGATAACGTTACCCAGCAGTCAGCTGAAATTAATGATTGTTCTACATTTTTGGAATATTGTTTATCTTTACTTTTTAGTAAACGGAGTCAGTCAGCTGCAACGTAGGACCAGGCATATATAGACATCGGTCCAAGTTGCCATATATCTCATTAGCACAACAACATGAACACCGGATTCATAGAAGTAGTTAATTCAGTGGTTGTAATATATAGAAGAAAGATTTTGTATAAGGAGATAGTACAGGAAGATAGAATTAGTTCCTAGAGAGAAAAATTTGAAGTGATTTTAATCTCTTAGTTTAAAGGAAGACAGAGAGTGTATACACCGACGCCATTTTGATCGATTCTGAGCCATGTCACCAAGAGTCTCCAACCATTGGTTACGATAGTCACGCGGACCCCAACCAGACAGTCTGAATCTGCCAACATAACTCAGACCAGAAGTTAATGACTTCAAGGACTGATGCCACGTTTTGGTTTAGCCACCCGTAACTTTCTTCCAACCATCCCCAACAGCGGTTAGCATTGCGCGTCGTGGTATTCGGAGTTGTGGCATACGCAGCACGTGGCCTAACCATCTCAGTCGATGAAGATTCACAACCTCATCAACTGATTTACCATCATTCCTTAATACCCTGAGTCTAACCTCACTATTACTTACCCGGTGATCTCAGCAGATGTGAGCAATATTTCTAAGGCACCTGTGGTCAAATACTAGTAACTTACTCAATGAGAAACCCAATAATCGAACATCGTGTAAACACAGGTCATTCCATCAAGAAAGACTGCGTTAAAAGTCATATACAAGGTAAATAGAGGGCTGTCAAAAGCAGTTATATTGCATCTTCTAAACATTGTCGAAGCAATAACCATACATCTGGGCAAACCAAAATTGTGTCCAAAATAGATTGGTACAACCTCTTCCTCTAACATGGTCTTAATTTCTCATTTTTTCTCCTCTCCATACTTTCCTTCTTTTACAGCCATCTACTTCCCCTTGCATCTCTTCTATGAACCTTCTACCCCCCCCCCGACTGGTTTATTTCTGCTTCTATGATCCTCTTGATTAAATTTGATCTTATCACACTGAGCCATCCTTTCCCAATGATAATTTTCCTATCTATCTCTATGATGGATATTTAAACCTTTAACAATAAACCTATTGGTTTCCCTTATTAAACTTTTCTAAATACCTTTGTTTATTCTATTTCACTGCTACTATATTGAACAAAAGTTTATTATCACTATTATTGTCATTATTATCATTTTGAAAAATAAGTATATATATATTTGCGACTGTAAAGCCTTGAAAATGAATTCGCCAAAGAGAGAACTCTTCGCTGAACCAACCTTTCTTATTTAATATCTTAATTTGTTCAGCTGATTTAAGTCCAATGTTTTCATTTGCATTAGTGTCATATTTCGTGTGGTATGTAAACAACCAATGAGGATCACGAGATGCTTTGTGTATTTATTTCCCCATGTTTGTATGTCATTTGAACAGTAGTGTTTACTGTTAACAAATGCTAAGTTATCATTAGTAGTGGCATTTGCCTTCATTAATCTCTTGTCTGTGAAACGCGCATGTGTGCGCGTGCATAAACAAGCAGCCAACTAGTCTAGATGTTTGTACAAACGGGTGACTAGATGAAGTTGTCATTTGTTACCATGTGTTTATGCTTGTCTGTCATTGTTTGTAGTAGGTACGAAGCATGGGTTGGCTATTTGGTGTTTGTATTGTTGTATTTGCTTGTATATCTGTATATGTCTGTTGCAGTAGAATTATTATTCGTGATGATAGTAGTGGTAAGTAATAGTATATTTCTATCTGGTGTAGTTGTGGGTTGTGTGTGTTGTGTTTAGCAGTCATAGGTACACTAACTCATCTGTCGGTCAGGGGTTCAGAAAGTTTCTTTCGCTTTTATTATAGCAACAGTCAAGTAAGTGTACATACTTGTGATACACTTGCGTAGAGACGATGGGGAGGAGATGATGAAGGTAAACACTCACTACCAACAGTTGCATACAAACAATTTTTATGCCAATAAATAAGCAAGTAAGAGTCTTCGCATTAGTTTTTAAGCAGTTTCAGTGTTTTTGCATATGTCTACTGTAGTAGTGACGTTGGTGTGAGCGTGTATATGATCATATTGTTCATCCTATGGAGTACTTTTTTCATGACAAGTCAAATGTGAAGTTATTTGGAAAAATACGATCATAATTGTTGTTATTGCTATTTTTGTGGTTTTCACATTGAAAATATTTTCACTATAACACTGATCGAGTGTGTGATCACTTACTTACTAGAAGAGACAAAAGGTGGGACATATATATGTGTTTGTGCATGACAGTAATACATAAATAATACTAATAATAATAACAGTAACATACAAGTTTTTTGTTGAGATAGTTAAACTGCTAATTGTGATCTCTGTCTTTGTGTACGTGCTCATGTGTGTCTCTATCTAGTGAAGAAAGATCCCTACGCGTTTGAAGATGATGAGAATGATGAGACGGTGAACAATTCTGGGAACTCACTACTTCATCCTGCGTCTGGTGTTAATAATAGTAATAATACTAATACACAGGTAACAGGACATATTGGAGTTCATTCTGGTGTTGGTGCTCCAGCCAATTTGAATAAGTCAACTTCTTCCAATTCTACCATTTCTTCTTCTTCTACTACTACTATTACCACCACAATTACTGCTACTACTCCTACTGCTACTTCTGTCAATACAAATACGAATACTAGTCCAAATAGTAATAGCAGCATTGGTAGTATTGATTCACTCTCAAAGCACACACGCCAACTGTCTTCTTCCAATCTGTTAACAACTGTAGAGTGTGGAAATATCACTTTGGATAGTAATAACGATAATACATTGACGACATTAACTGGTACAATCAATAGTGCTCTTACTACAACTACTGCTCCCAATAATAGTAGCAATTACACAACTAGTAACAACAACTGTCCTAGTATTGGTGGGCCTCCACTTCGGCTTCGTTTTGCAAAAGAAGCCGGTCAATATACTTTGATGGAACATCAACAACAACAACAGATTGATTTGTCCCTTTCAAATTGTGATGCAAATCTTGTTCCTTCATCAATTGGAATTATTTGTACAACAACTGAAGCATCTCATGTCACTGTCATTAGTGATAGCGACAACGATAACAAGAACATGAATTTTCAAATGGATATTGATAACAATAATAATAATAATAATAATAGTAGCGATAATGTCAGTAATGAGCATAACTCCAATATGGGTACATCGATGACGATAAAAAGTGAGCCAATCACCGTATCAGGTGATGAAGAATTGAATCATGTAAGTCAATTATTATGACAATAATTGTAACTGTTCTTGAGTGTTTATTTTGTACAACCTACCATCCAGCTGATGTGTATTTTTCTTTCTAAAAAGTTAACATTTTAATGAAAACTTGGATGGAGCAGTCAGAAAGAATTATGTTTTTCATTTGAACAGTTTAGACCATGAGTCAATTGAAGCTAGAGCACCATGGAAAACCTGTTAATGTTTAACTTCAACTAATCCACGAAATGTTTGTAAATGTCAGTTGATTATATTGCTTAATCACTAAGGCTTAATTAGAACTCATCAATGTTGGTTCAGTTGACCTTTCTCATAGAAATAATGTCGTTGTACTAGTGTACTGGTAGTGCTACATTCGTGTATCGTAACTATATTACAAAACATTGAAACATTCTGAATAAGTTTTGCATGTACTATTTTGTTAGACAGATTATTGTTCATTAGATGATATTTCCTATAAGAAATTGTTCACTTAAACTGTATATTTGATAAAACTTAAAAAACATTTTCGAATACGTGGGTGATAATCACATAATGATGATTAATATCAAATGAATTTTGATAGCTTCATCACCTGACCTTTGCCGTGGAAATAAGAAATTGAAACAAAAGAATTGAAATCAAATCTTGGGTGGCCCTGAAAAGGGCCTTTACTCGTTCTCTTAACAGTTCCGAATTTCACGAACAAAGATGTTGCTATGATTCCGTTACAGCGCCGCATATGAGACAGATGATTCCATGGACAAGTGGTGTTGGGTCGTAAGCACAAAATAAATGAAACATTGCTTCGAATGGACAAAAAATTCAGGCACTTCCATCAGCAGTTTCATGTGGCGGTTGCGCAACATTGCAAATATCACAAAGTTTGTTGTCATACGTGTCCTCGTCATTTTTTTCGTCTCGTTCAGTGAACTTCTCTGAGTTAATCGAAACAATTTCTTCCTCGTCATTGCTTAACGTTGCATCCATATCAACGTTATTCTGATAGTTGGTAACTCACAAAAGATGAAGGAAGGACAGTGAGTGTTCACGGAAGTCCTTTATGAAAAATTATAATAACACTAATCAAATTACCTCCTTCGTCTACTCGGCTGTGAGAAACCGCTAGGTGTTCTACGGCCATTTCTCCTCCAACATACGAATTTAATATACGGCTTCCGATCTCTATGGAAATGAGAGTCTCTCACCGCATAATGTCAGTACGTAGCTCTTTCATAAGTTCTAACGGCGCTCTTCAAGTGATTGCAACGCTACGAGATACAATGTGCTCAAGAATAGGTTATCGGTTTCTGTGACGACGTGAGGAACGACAGAGCTCGTGCTTTGCACCTTACTACCACCCGTAATTGGAAGAAAATGTGCTCTGTCGTCATGTCCTGACATTTTATATCAATTTTAAGAAATAAACGACCAATTATAACGAACTCAAAACTAGCTATTTGATTGGATGGAACAGAATGAAAATTATTGGAAGATGGGGATGAAAAATTTTTTCGAATGGGACGAAAAAAATGTCACTCGAAAAAAAAATGACCGTGCAATTAATGTTAACCGACGAGCTGGAATTTGCTTATTCTGTAATTTGGTGCAAACACAAGTGATTAATATCGCTCGTTATGTGTGGAGATGAAGGATTTGACAGGAAATGAGACCTCTGTGACGGCATTCTATGTGTTTATTGATTGTTTCGATCAGTTGGACGTGGATCTACACATGAATATTTCCCTTTATTGCACATTTTACTGTTGTGGTTATTGCTCAGTACTCGAATTGTAGGATGATGAGCAGTGGGGGTATTTGTCTAAGGACTGTTTTCGACAGTATATTCATCATTGTCATCATGGGTTACTGTTTTCGTCCTGATTCTTCGTATGATTGCTGCCATTGGGATGCTACTGGTGGTATTGCTAGTAAGAGGGGTATTGTGAAGTGATGTATCAAAGGACGAATAACCCCAATACTAACAATAACACTGGTGAATTGAGTCAATCAGAAATCGGCCAAATGATAAGTACATTTGATTAACCAGGAATTGGCTTTTATTGCTAAGAGATGTGGTATACTCCAGTGGTGTCTTAATTTTGTGAGGAATAAATATATGCCGAGGAGTCTCACAATAAGACGAAACGGCCGTCCAGTGCTTCCAGGTTTTCCATGGTGGTCTAGCTTCAGTTGACTCATGATCTCAACTATTGGAATAAATGTGTTTATGCATGAATGTGTACACACACGGTCGATTCGGTGTGGTCAATAAACTTCCTTTTTCAGCGTCAGTGTTTTCACTGAAGTATATATATTACTACCATTGAAGTAAATACTCTTATGAATTCGGTGACCATTTTATTGTGTTAATGAAGTGTTGCAACTTGCATATATGTGCCTGGTCCTATGTTGCAGCTGACTGACCGGTTGAGCCGGTATATGAGAAGTTTGTGTATCTGTATCAACTATCGGACACCTCATGTCACAATAAACACACTATTTCAAGTTCTTAATGGTGTTACCACTAAGTGTTGATGAATGAATGGGAATGTGATGAGGCGCTTTAACCGGTGCACATGGGCTCCAGTATCCTGAAGGAACAAATGGCGTATGAACCAATCGTTGGTCACCGGCTACCATGGGACTGCATCTCCTTACGATGCTCCACTGCCTTGTGGATCAGATCTTCAGGTGGAAGGCTCGGGGTGTTGCTCCCTAAGAAAACCACCTGCTTTGATTTGGGCACCCGGGCATTATCACAGCCCTCACACATATCCGATGAGATCTGTGTGGCGTATATTTATTTGGTGCCTCGTTGTACCAATATCTATGTGTTAAAATAAAATAAAATAATGATAAGGTTGATAAGAATATGTGACAGCTCATGTTTACCGTCGTTGTTGTGGAAATGATTATACTTTTCTACCATGATAGAGTTATGTGTATGTGTGTGTTGGGTATTGTAATGGGGTTCTAAGTGTAGCATTTCTACAATATCGACTAGAATGAATGTAAGGGAAAGGAGTTTATGTCTTTGAATTGATTGTCTGAGTTGGTAAATATATTTTGTGATCGTTGTTTGTTTTAGAGAGAATTTGTTATGGGATTGTGTGTATTTGTATTTTGTGGTCCTGCAGATTTGGAGCGTTAGTGTAGTGATTGAGGTGTTCGACTTTCAGCCACTAAATGACAGTTTCAAACTGTGCTCCACCCATTTGTGTTTGGGCTATTGGGTAGTACATTGGTCGTCACTCTAAGAGTGTGTCTCATGATCAAGTACTTGGCGAATGAGCAGATGTATAAATGTTAGTCGTACAAAGGAATTCGCTTCCATTTCGTCACGTTCTGTCAGTCAGTCAATCAGTGCTGTTCGAGGTATGAGGGCGGTTATCACTTCCCGGTTGCCCACACTGTGGAAGGGTTGTTCTGGAGGTACCTGAAAAGGAAATTGGGTTAGAGGTGGCCTTAGTGACCTGAGAGCGTGACCGCAGTGCCCAAGGGATAGCTGCTTGAGGTCGGTCACGCACGACCTTTTTGTTGGTAATTTTCGTGTTAGCTCTGTATTGTTGAGACCTTACCGCTGGAGACGGATATCCGTGGGATGAGGCGAGATGTTCATTTTAAGGGTCGACCTTTTCCAACCACACCCCTCCTTGTGGGAAGGCAGCATCGCTGTCATGCTGATTGTCTGAAGGAAACACCTTACTGCTATCACACCTCTGTACAGTCAGCAGTACGACTTCGGCCTCAGACCTTGGATTTACTACTCTTAGTCTTACCACTCTTCAACCGACCTATCTGGTATGGTAGGACCTCGAGGAACGATTGTTCCATCCAGTATACCACGATAGGCAAGCCCGACCACTACGTCAAGGTAGCAACAACGATCGGGCCACGTTCTATAGTTTAGATAGTTCCCTTCTGATTTTTGGTGTATGACGATTATTTTGTTGTTTGTATTCACCTATGTCTACGAGCTTTCTCTTTTCTGTTAATTCTCCGTGACAGGTGTCTACATCATGCCATCCAGAGTCATCAGGAGGCGAAGAAATCTCGGCACAGAAGGTTCCTCCTTTACGCATTAAATTTGCTTCGGGTACTTCTGGAGATGAGGCATCATCAATGGCTTCGTCGTGCATGTCAGTCGGAGCAACTGGTTGTGGATTGGCAATTCATCCTATTAATAATGTGGAGAATAATTCGAGTAATGAGTCGAATATGAATGATAAATGCGACGTGAAACCTCGTGTATCTGATGATGGTTTGATGACTGTGAATAACAGAAGTGATGGTAAGGAGGCTGGAGTCACTGTCACTTCTCTCGTTTCGACGAGTGTCGTTTCATTGAATGCTCCAGTTCCTGACAAAGTTTCGTGTTCGAGCGTGGAGAATATCAGCGAGAGTAACAGCAGCAGTAGTACTACTACCACTATTACCGCTACTGGCACTACAGAGACTGTCCACGATCAATATTCTAGCTACCATGAGAAGTTATCTAAGTCTTGTGATCATGTTGTTGCAACGAATGTACACCATGACGAATCGAGTACAGAGTTGTCCATATCTTGTACTCCTGCATCGACATGTATCACAAGTGCTGGGATGAACACTAGTGTGAATATTACAAGTGGTGTTAACACTGTTGAGATGAATAGCAGTCGTAGTAATGTAAGTAATACTAATCGGGTGAAGATGGATAATACGCTGGAGACGAGTGAGTCTCATGGAAAGAGTGGCAATAATAATAATAGTAATAATAATAATAACAACAACAACCACACGCACAGTCGAAGTAATAATAATAGTAATAATACGAATAATGGTAATCGAGAAGTGTCGAAAGTGAGTTTACGTGTTTTTGTATGTTTGTTGATGTACGTACGTAGTTGTATTGTTCACTTGAATGTTGTAATTGTGACTGAACGTACTGAAGTGTGGTTAGATGTAGCTATTGGTGAGAAAGTAAATGGGATTTGGTCAGAAAAACTTTTGGGAGAAATTTATCCATTCTGAATGTGTAAGTGTTTTAGTTGGTTTTTGGTAGGTTTTGACTATGAATCTGAGGCATAATGCTGGTGTTTTTTCTAAAAAAGATGAGATGAAGTGATGTGATTCGGTGCAGGATTAGGGTTACATTAATAATTGGATGCGGCGAACAGTCATCACTCAGATCGTATGATTGTGTCCGACTGTTAGTTGGCGTTCTATTCCTTTATTTTCATAGTCCAGGATTGGTCAACAATATATTGATAATGTTGTTGCTTAGGATGAACTGTTGAGTTGTATGGAAGATTTCCGACTTCATCAAAAGTTAAATTTTTAATGCGTTCGTGATAAATTCAGACAGACTGTAGTGGTTTGAATGTTGTGTTGATGTGTTGATAACTGTTATCATTGTTCGTGTCCTGTGTTGATTTTGACTGTTAATGGAATGAAGCTATTGTATATTTTGTGGTTGACTGAACTCGCTCTGCCCACTTCATTCGGTGATGAACTCGATTGAAGGTGAAATTGCACTTTGATTTGTTACATTTTGTATGAATCTGTTAC